CGCAAGCCGAAGCTCTTATGGAAATTTATTGTAAGTGCACCACACCACTAAAATGAAGTGCCTGGTATGGAATACAGTCATTAATAGTTGTCGGATATACCAATGATTTTTTCACTTTTTACCGTAATTTGCTGTTGAAATATAGAGGAGGAACGGAATGGCGTGACATTATTACGTTTTTTGTTTAATACATAAGAAAAAATAAGTTAATCCAACAACAATATAAGAATTTGACTTACTATAAATCTTAAAGGTCTAATTACCGGGAATATGACCTGAACTGTAAAGAAGCTAGAAATGTCAAATTAAAACTCAAAGTGTAATTGTAAACTTTAAAGTGAAATAATAAATAAAAAGCAGTACCTTTTGTTTGTGTTTTCCTTGTTACTAAATGTGTTTTTGTGTTTTCATGTGCAATAAATAATGAAATAAATAAAAAAGCAACTTGATGTGTAAAGTTTTTACATTTTTCACTTTATATATAGGTATGACTTTAAATATTATATGAAATTACAAACAATATATTAAATATTTTTTTATTGAATTGATATTCAATTTTTTTTTAAATTACTCCACTAGTTTGTCATAATTATTAATACAAAGTAGAAAAAGCAACTTTCTCAAACACGTATCTTATAAAGAGTGATTATTCAGGAGATAGCAAAAATTTTTATTTATTTTAAATTTCTTATCAAGGATGTTAATTTGGATGCATTACTTTAAGAAAAAGTAAAAGCCAGTATGTGAATATGAAGGAAATTTGATTTGAAATCATCCTGCAAATATGTACCTGTATACAAGGCATTTTTTGCATTTCAGTTACTTTGTTTTTTAGGATGCGAGATTGAGAAAGTAAGGCGACAAAATGTCATTTTACTCCGCCTTCAAAAATGACAGACTGCACCGGACATGGCAATTGTTTAAGATCTCTTTGTTGAATTGATCACGGTCGACATTACAATGTGTTAATTCGGTATAAGGCTCATGATGTGACTGTTGGCTTACAGATTTCCCTAAAGAAGGTCCGCGTATCACGGGTCACGACCGTTCGTACATTTTGAGTGAACCGTTGGATGTCAACTGCTCGTCGGCAAAGGCGTTTCCAGCTCCTGAACTCCAATGGCTCATTGACGGACAGAAAGTAAGCATTTTTGTTAAAGTAAATAGATTTAATAAGCATTTACCGACTTAAATACACACAGCCTCAGGTTTTGCTGTAGAAATTTGCACCGTGGCATAAGTGTAATAAGACCACACATGCAAAATAACAACTTTTTTAAAGAAGAGGTTTAAAGATTCTGCTAATGAAATTCGTCGATAACTTTTTTATGTTTAAACAGAGAACTTGCAAAATTTGCCTATAAGCCGTGGTAGCCTAATGGTTTGATCTACTGCCTCTCAAACAGAGGCCGCAGGTTCGAATCCGGGCTTGCACCTCGTGAGTTTTTAGAATTTATGTGCGAAATTTAATTTCAAATTCATTACCTTCTCGCTGAAGGAAAACGTCGTGAAAAAACCTGCAAATCCAAGAAGGTTCACTCGAAAAACGTGAGAAGACCCCAACCCACAATGGGCCAGCGTGGCGGACTATGGCCTAAACCCTATACTAAGAAAAGACCCAAATACAGCAGTGGAACGTAAAAATGATGATGAGGATGAATATGCTTTTATTAAATAAAAACATAAATATTTATATCTGTTATTAAAATTAATTTTGTGATTATAAAAACTTCACATAATGTTCGTAATTCGTTCTATGTCGTTCGTATTATTTTTATAACTTTCATATAATAAAAGCACGTTTGACCTGTGATCACATGTGTCTTTGTTATACCAAGGGTAGTTGTCATTTGTTAGTTAACGTAAAATTTACAACAAATAATTTTTAACATAATAATTATCAATGTTATAAGCATAACTATAAGTGTCAAATGTGGCCTCTTATTTGGTGACGACTATAAGTAGATGTCATGTAATAAAAGGATCCACTCTGCTAATGTCGCCGCCGAGAAAAGGTTGTGACGCTGATTTTCAGTGGATCCTAAAGCTGAGTGAGTACTGGACGTGTGTGTCGCGTATAAACTAATTGCAGTCTGCCTCAAAAACGTTTAATTAATCAGGAAGATGGTTTAAAGTAAAATACACGCATATTTTACTTTACAAGCACGGTCGATTTTGTGCGCCATATACCATATGGTGTGCAAAAGACTTATAGTGTACCGAGCCTTTGTTTCGTACATAATAAACATTCTGAATACAGCTGTAATATAAAAAACAATTAATTTTGTTTGGGTGACTATACCTTAAAAGTGCCATGGTGATTGGTGACTCAAATGTCTGGATATTGTCGTGAACATTGACACCGACTGTTTGTATCGATTTAGTAGCAGTAGAGCTCCAGGGAAGTACAGCCACCTTACCTATTCCTGCCGCCAAGCAGTAATGTGAGCATTAATGCGTTCCGATTTTGACGGGTAAAGGTGCTGCTGAAGTTACAGGCACATGGAACTTGTCAACTTATGTCTCAGAGTGACGGGCGCAGTAGCAGTGCCCCACAGATCTTTGAGATTTAAAACTCTTAGTGGCAGGCACAGTGTCACTTACCACCAGGCCCACGACTAGTTCGTCCTGTCACTTGATGTCATAAAAAAAGAACATACTTTACGTAAATGACAAGATTATGGTAAATGTCCCAACATGGGAAAGTATTTTTAGAATTTTTCGTTTCTTTCAGGTGACCGAGCGTACCTGGCTTATCGCATACGGAGCAAGGCCAGCAGCTCAAGGTCTGCTGGTGTCTACGCTCGGACTTAGGGCACCCATGAAGCGTCGCATGAGACTTCGGTGTATCGCCTCTATTGGCACTCATAGAAGGGAAAAGACTGTCGTTATAGGCAAGTTATTTTTATAAAATGAGCCCTAAGAATCTCACATGCATGACAACTTGCGCGAGAGCGACATAGAAGCGCGAGATATTGCTATTCTCTATGCAAGAATACCAGTATTTCTCGCCGTATGTCCTTGTCCAATAGAAGATTCTAGGGTACATTACACTTATTATAGATACATAATATATACTGCCCCTGTGGCCGCACGGTTAACATGCTGATCTGCTGCACAGAGGTCCCGGGTTCGAGTCACGGGCCGGGAGAAATATTTATATGACCTACATTTATTTCTCTCGTAAGTTTGGAAGTAATTTGTGATCGTCTATGAGTGTATTCATGGCACCCGCGATACGGAGTTTCCTTATGAGTATTTGCGTTGTTATTAATATATTCTAAGTCTATTTGAAATTTGGTAGGCATAATAAATTTGTTACTTAGAACTTGTTAGACACCGGAATATAGTTTTACTGCTCTGGTTCGTGGTTGGTTCAGCAGGTGTCCTTTGCCATCCAGCACGATAATGCTGCCAGTAGGGTGCACAAGAGGAGCCTGCACGACGTACCATACCTTTTACCATACTATTTCGCACCCTGGGCAACAATCGACGAGCATCTTACTTAATCCTTTCGCCACGATAGCTAGTATTACAGTGTTTGCATTCGATTCGATAAGAAGAAGCTGCCAGTACAATGGAAACTTTTGAGCCAGACACGATACTGGGCGGGGTTAGAAATTTTTGACGATCTCATTTAAATAATACAAAAAACTGGGAATTGTATTATAATGCCTAGATTATATTGATGAAACCATTAGGCTGATCTTTGGGTTGTAAATTTATGATCGATCATCTTTTTAATGTCTGTTCATATTACATATGTTCCTGTTGAATAAACATTAGAGTTGATAAACATATCATACATAGAAAATTTTAGTTAACGTTTAACTGCCTCCGTGGCCGAACGGTTACCATGTCGGACTGCCACGCAGAGGTCCCAGGTTCGATTCCCGGGCCGAGAGAAGTAGTTGTATGGCCTACAATTATTTCTCTCGTGAGTTTGGGTGTAATTTTTGGTTGTCTGTGTGTGTGTCCATGGCACCCGCGACACAGGGTTTCCCTAGTGCGGGGCTATGTTGAGTGTGTGTGTTATTAAAAAAAAATGTAGAGTACGCTCTTGAGAATGAACAGCATCGTAGTGTGATGTGTAAAGGTTTCCATCTTATATTTGTTAGGTACCTTTTTTTCGACTAGGACAGAATGAAGTAATCCGAAACCACAGTAGATACAGAGAAACCATCTCCGGTACCATTATTATGTATACAGGGTGATAAAAAAATCGCTATTTTTTTTCCTGTCCACAAGATTCAGTAATGGAATACATTAGTGAAATAAAACAAATAAATTCCCCATTTTTTTTGTTTTAATATTTCCCAATGATTTCTAATGCGCGGTTACCTCAAAGTAGTAAATAAAATTGAGTTATCTAGACGCCTAGGCGCCAAGACGTCGCGTCGCGCGGACGACGGACCTGCGTTGTTGTCTGTCAAGTACATAAACTCGCGCGCTGGATGCCCACTGCCCCTCTCCGTTCTTGTTGCTATAGCAACGGCGTCTGATTATCGTCGGGTGTCAATATTGTTCACCATTTTGCCGAAAACTTTGTGACGTTATAACTTATTTATTTGTTAAGTATTTGGAAAAAACCGAACATGTAATATTTTATTTCCATTATACAGTATACTCCTTTAAAATGGTCAGCAGTTTTTTTGTCACCCTAATTACGAAATCAATCAGATATATTTCATATTCTTTTTTACAAAACGATACTTTGAAAAGCTTGCAATGGGAGATATGGGCTCAAACACGTACATTGTTTGATGAAATTTTTCAAGTGTGTATTTTTGTTTCAGAAATTTCTTCTTCAGCCAGGCGAAAGGACATCAACTTCCTTTTAATTTTCATAGTAATAAGTGTCAAGTACATCCTCAATACGATAACGTGATATATACAATAGTTTTTTGTAAATATTCTTGCTTAGAATAACATTTTCCGGAAATACATAATAGAGCAAAATAAAAAGAATCGATTATTTAAAACATTATTATTGACATTTATTTTACAACTTCAAAAATACACTCTTACAATAGTATTAAGAAACTTACATAATCAATTTTTTTATGATTAGTGACACAAAGATCGAATACTAAGAAAATTTCCTTCGATCGGGCTGGATTTCAATTTTCCAACCAGTGACTGGTGTTCTTCCAAGTTGGTTACGGAACGAATCAGCAAGTCGTAATGAATTTGTCTATGTGCTTATTGCAAATCTTTGTTTTTGACTTTTAACGACTTAGGAAATGAAACTATTTTTCCGGATATAATCGGGTATATTTGTTTTTTTCAAACAAACCGACGTTTCGGGCCCTTTACAGGTCACATGGTCACGGTTGACTGAGGTGGTACAGTCTTCAACCAGTTACGTCTAATATTGATGTAAACCACCCTATTTTTTCACTACAGTTACAATAGTTATTAATTAAATACCTTATTTTTCATAATTTTTTTATTAAATACCTTAGTCCTCAGCCGAGCATCTATCAAGACCTATTTCAAGCCCCTGAGGAAGATTTCTCAGTTCCTGAGACCCGTGAAATGTAATATCTCCTTACAGGATGCAGGAGTTTACAAGCTTGACTGTGAGTGCGGACTCTCTAATATTGGACAAACAAAGCGAAGTATTTGTACCCGCGTCAAAGAACATATAGCTGATGTCAAACACTGTCGCATAACCAAGTCTGCAGTCTGCGAGCATGTCATGGATAAACATACATATTCAATGAAGTTTGAGAAACCCCAGGTCCTCGCAAAAGAAGTCCGTTATCTACCCAGGATGCTGCGAGAGACCATTGAAATTAAAAAACATCCTAATTTCAACAGGGAAGATGATTTCTCCGTACCACCAGTTTGGGATCCAGTATTTCCTCTAATGAAAAATCCCAAACAGACATAAGACTGCAATACTAATTAATATGTTTTAGTTTATTCTAATTTCTATTATTAATTAATAATAAATAAAATAATTTGTAAAACTTAATATTGCATAAATTGGAATGTTTTCTTTGTAAAATTAAAAATAAGGTATTTAATTAATAACTATTGTAACTATAGTGAAAAAATAGGGTGATTTGCATCAATATTAGACATGACTCATGACAGACATGATAGTGTAGTAAAAATTTGTATTTTAATTTTATAGTTTTTCATTTAAATCCGGAAATTTCATTTCCTATGTGTAACAATCGCGAAAACTTAATAGTTTTTTGTTACACTTTATATAACTAATAAAATAATTTTTCAATTATGTAATTTTTTTTTGTTGTATTGATCGATATATAATAAGAAACCATTTCCTAGATGGGTTTGTAATGATGATTTTTCTTATCAGAGTACAAAGATTTTTTTAAATAAACACCTCGTCTGTGTTGTCGGAGTAACGTAATGTCTGAGTAAAATCATGTCGATGTAACATGTTGTTGGAGTAGCGTAGTGTCTGTGTAAAATAATATCGAAGTAACATATTGTCGGAGTAACGTAATGTCTGAGTAAAATCATGTCGATGTAACATGTTGTCGGAGTCGCGTGTGTCGAAGTTCAATAACTGGTTGAAGACTGTACCACCTCACCGTGACCTGTAAAGGGCCCATGGTCACGGGCCCAGGGGTTTGTTTGAAAAAACAAATATACACGATTTAAATGCGGAAAAATAGTTTCATTTCCTATGTGTAACAATCGCGAAAACCTATGAACTCGATATTATAACGACTTTTTTGCCGTAGCGCCATCTATGAGAAATCTATGAAAGTTTTTTTTTACTCTGCCAGGTACCTTGCAGCTCCCAGCGGCTGACTATTGATGTCGCTTTAATCATTGTAATATTAAGTTTAATCAATAACACGGTATTTTGTTACCATGATATTCATTTTTTGTGAATTACTCCACTAGTTTTTTATAATTATTAATAAACAAACACAAGGGTTTATATATGCTGTACAATATTTATAAAGATGTTAACAAAAGGAGGAACTTATAGGGCATTTACAAAGTTTTACAATTTATGACAGGATTGAAACAGATGATTTTTCGTATCCAACTTCAAATTATTGATAAAACACATTAGTCAAATTTTAAAAGCACTTATCAAACAACTGCTGAGCGATATGTTCATTTTCTCCTCCTATCGGGTATGAAAACGTAATGCCTCCGATTTACCAGGTCTTAGCAGACGAAGTCAGCTTCGTCAGTTTGAAAATCTGAACAAGAGAGTGACTGATTAATTTGTCTTCTATACAATTTACGAGTATAATATAAAGCCTTTAAAGCGCCATGGCTTTGTATAATACATAAATAATAAGAGTAACTTAATAAACAATTAAGTAACAGTAACAGTTTGTATGCAGCGATACTTTTGCTCATAATTTTTGTTTCATAGTTGATGCTTGAAGATAGTCACGTATTTCCGGTGCCCTTACAAAAATTTCCAACAGCACAGCTTTCTTTGTAACTTATTCTTCTCAGGATCGTCAGAGTCGCTGTCACTGTCGCTCATTTTGTCTTTACTCCGGACTAAGGATTTACCACACCTTGCTGGTTTCTTTTCGAGAAATTTCTTTATCATCGTGGCTCTATCTACAAATTGGAGACACTTAACTCGAACGCATTCCTTAGCTCTCTCACCATCAATTTCATACATTATAGCATACTCGAAACATTTTACTCCAAGTTGGTACTGAAGGAAAGCTTTTTCATAGTTTTTATTCTTGTCTTCTTCTGTTGCTTTAGTAACAAAGTCTATGGCCTCTTGCAAGGAGCTTGGTAAAAGCATGCTTGGATATTAAATTCTTACCTGAAAAGAGCAATATAATTAATGTGTACGTAATTATGTATAGACTTGAAAGCATTAGGTATACTCGACCACACCTTAAGCTATTTATATAATTAATCCTTTCATTAGGGTGCGTAGAGATCTGGCGAATGCGCCGCAAATGCGCCTGTTTACGAAAGGCTCTCGAGCTGCATACGTGCATTACGTAGTGCACGTGCTAACATGCATTTAACTGCACGCTGCATGCAGCGCGCGCGCGGCGCACATGCAGCGCGTTTGCGGCGCATTCGCCAGATCTGTACGCACCTTTACACTATAAATTTGACCGTAAGTGACATAATATGATAAAATTCCCAGCAAATAATTGTGACAAGTTTGTGTAGCTTTACTTGTGGCCCACCAAGTCATTTTACAAATTATCAATAATTTTTTTAGCTTCTCAGTAAATGTCATTGTTTTAATAAATTATGTTTACCTAAGATTCAATCTGAATATAAATTTACGTATACATATCATTATAAGAAAAAAGAAAAACACACAGTTCTAGATTTTAGGAGGTGAAATGTGGGGACTTGCCACTCGCGTCCAGCAATCTTAAAATTACTATGAATAAAATAAGAACAGTCGGAGAAAATTTGAGACAGAGCACCCGAAGGCGTCATACGGGGCAACGGCCGGCACGGCGTGTCGTTAAACCAATCGTGGTTTAGCGACACGTGGGGAATTTGCAAATTGTGTGATAAATGTGAATTTAATAATTGATCTTTAGTTGAAAACCAAAATTACTTAAAATCTGTAACACTTAAAGGGAAATAGCTCCATACAAAAACAGTATCAAAAATAGATATTTTATTCTTAAATAATTGGTTTTGGACTTTTATTTTCATTAAATAAAATTATCAAATAAAGTACATACTATCATGTAACACATTGGCACATGCTTTAGACAATATCCTTAGGTGTATCATATACTTTTTGTAACCGACCGTTATTTAATAGTAAATACGTAAACCATTTAATCTACGAGTAGCAAAACAGTTTGTAATGCTCTTGTTGCAGTGACTCGCCTTAAGTATAACTTCAGATTCTTAATTGCAGTGGGGTACTCAAAATACAACTTAATTATCGAAAGGGCTAAAATATACAGTTTTACTCGATAAAAAAATTATAACCGCTACATTGGTTTACTTCAGCTACTTTCACAGTTTAATGACAAGCAACATTTAGCTTTGGGGTAATACCGCCGATATGAATAGAATCTTTATCCAGATCATCTTTAATAATAATAATAATAATAATAACGCCCACACTCAACATAGCCCCGCACTAGGGAAACCCTGTGTCGCAGGTTCCATGGACACACACATAGACAACCACAAAAGAGAGAAATAAATGTAGGCCATGCAAATATTTCTCCCGGCCTGGGAATTCAATCTGGGACCTTTGCGTGGCTGTCCGGCATGGTAACCGTTCGGCCACAAAGGCACGAATATTTTACAGGGAAGTTTAAAAAATCAACCTTCTTCCACTAGAGTCACAGTACATTTTATGAAAATGTAATTTATATTAAGAATAACAGTATTTTTTTTATTAACGTCTACGTCATTTACGTGAAACATTACGGGAAAGCAATATAGTATGAGCTACCATGGGTTCTGTGCCTCTACCATGAGATTACAAGTTTTCGCTAGCGACCGCGTTATACGTTTGTATACAAAATGTTGTTTCTTCTTGTAACCGCTAGAGGCGCAGTATAATTTGACATACAAAATTTTGAAGCAATTTCCACGGTCACGTCACGACAACTGCCACAGTAAACTCGTGGTAGGGGCACTTAAAAGGCCCAACCATTGGTTCATTTGAAAAATATATATATACGCTATTTAGATCCGAAAACATTGTCTCGTTTCCAATGTGTAACTACCACAAAAAAGAATTTCAATAAATAATTTCAACATACATTACATATATGTACGATATCATATAATCAAAACATCAATACCATAATAAAGATAAAATAGGAAAAAATATACATGAGTGTATCTATAAGCATAAGAAATTATAATAATTATATAAAATTCAGCTTTTAATAAATTTTCATCATAACTAAAACCACGATGACACCAAGACGGAAATGAAAAAAAATCAATGTATAAAAAACGATTTAGAAAAAAAAATAACAAAAATAAAAAAATAAAAACAGTCCTCATATATATTTTACCTCTATTCTAATGATTATTTAGAATAATTTGAAATTTTTCGTAGAATTCCCAACACTGTCAAGAGCACAACAAGTGCTTCACTTTGGACCGTTGTTATCGCTGCGTAATAGAGGTTAATGTAAATCATATCAAAGTTGCCGCGCTCTTGACCCTACTTTGACAGGAGCGTTGAGGAAAATGGCATAAAAAAATAGCAAATATCTTAACTACATATGCGTAGGTTAAAAATATTATATATCATATCAGCCGAAAGACGTCCACTGCAGTCTGGCAATCTTTGGGGGAGGCCTACGTTCAGACGTAGGCCTCCCCCGAAGATTGCTAGACTTGCCTGTCGGACGCGACGTGCATCCATCGGTTACCCACCGCCCTTGCCAGGTCATCCGTCCATCTGGTTGGGGCCCATGCCACTGAATTCCTTCCGATTCGGGGTCTTCATTCAAAAACCTTTCTGCCCCAACGACCGTCAGTTCTACGCGCTATGTGCCCTGCCGACTTCAACTTGCTAATCTTTTGAGCTATGTCGGTGACTTACGTTCTTCTACAGATCTCCTCATTTCTGATTCGATCACGTAGAGAAATGCCGAACATTGCTCGCTCCATAGCTCGTTGAGGGACTTTAAGCTTTTTTATAACGCCCATATTAAGTGACTGCGTCTCAGAACCGTAGGTCATAGGATAGAGGATAGTTGCAAATAAACACTGGTAATGCTAGCTTATTGCGCAATAACGTGTATTTTGGCAAAATTTACATTAGTGGATTAGAACAACGTCGTCATGGACAAATTTAATAACGGTAATTACGACTTTACAAAAAAAATCACACTTACCTTCAAATAGACTGTTAAGACGTAGAAATAAATCCTATTTTGTCATTTTAAAGAGGAATTTAGAAAATATGTTCTTTTCGGACTCCAAGGTATGCAAAAGAAGCTCCTTGGTAAAGCAGACGCTTTGTTGTTAATTCTCACTCAATCACTGGCACTCTCCGTTCTCACGCCCAGACTGCAGCAAATTATTATAAAACTTTATTAATCAGTATCACAGTAATCCAAAACGGGAGAAACCAAATTCAGCAATTGGTTAGTCGTATTTTATGTCAACCAATCAACGACTGTAAAATTATGTTGCATCAGCTTCCGTTTATCAGCAGTTTGTTTGGAATCCCGCTAAAGCAAGTATGGCACTGATAAGCTCTAGTAGTGCCTACAACAGTCGATAATATGGATAAAAGAATGAATTAATTAATATTATAATATATTTAAAAAGTATATACCTACTACCTGCTAAGAGGTAAACATGAAATAAAAATATATTGCAATGAAACGAATTGTATACGGTTATAATAATTGTATTTAAGTACATGATCGAATAATATAATTTTAGCAAAAAATGAAATTTTGACTTATTCCCATCTGAACCCTAAAACTAATCCACCGCCAATTTTAAATTGCAACTGATCCCCTCTTTATTTTGCTACTCCCAACGGAACTACTCACTGTATTTGTAAGGTAAGTACAGTCAAGAGAAAAAGAAGTTTTAAAATCAAAGTTAATACAGTTATATAAGTTAGTACAGTAAACGTCACTTTGTTTGAAAATATACGCGATTTAAATCCGGAAAAAGAGTTTCATTTCCTATACTTCTTATTATTTTTGTGACTTTCATGTGATAAAAACGCTTTTATACATGTTGACAATGTAGCTTTATTACACTAAAGGTGCCAATAGGCAATTGGACAACAATCAGAACAAAGTTTAAAATATACTTAGAAATACGTTTGTATAATAAAAACGATCAATTAATCAATATTTTTGTGATATAATAAGGGTTTGTATTTTTTAATCAGTATACAAAATCTGAAAATTGTAATAAACCAGCTTAACAAGAAAAGGCCCCGTTAGTTAGAGGTAAACAGCTTTTAAAGTTACACTCATTTACTTAATTTCTTACACTGAACCATAATATAAACTAACATGAATGAACATAACACATAAAAATACTCAATTGAATTGTACAATTTGCATCGCATCTTGCGTAAAGACGTTTAGGTAGATTCCTTTACAAATTAAGTTATGTACCTACCTTACCTATGCGAGTCATTTCATGTAACAACATCGAACAAGCAGCATTCATATTCTCCACAGCAGAATGAATCACTTGTGTGAAAAAATGAACAATTGCTTCTATCTGTACTGATATGAAATTATTTAAAGTTGTATCGCACCAAAATTTAATTTCCAGTTCTTGTGTATAGATAGAGGCAATGTGTAAATGTACACCTTACTTAATAGGCATCTCATTAATCATATTCAAATCCATGTTTTAAAATTAGCTATAAGTTGTCTATAAGTTCCCCTAATAAAATGAAATAAATAAATTGCCTATGCACATGAAGACCATTACTGGGGTTATTTTTTTATAATACCAAGTGACGAGACGAACAAGTTGTGGACCTGTTGGTAAGCGACACGCCTGTCCATAACAGTTGCAGTGTCACTCAGAGCTTTAAATAGCAAAGATCCGAAAGGCACTGCCAGTACGCCCGTCACCCTGAGACACAAGTTCACAAGTTCCATGTGCCTGTAATTTCACCAGCACCCCTTACCCTTCAAAATCGGAACGCAGTATACATTACTGCTTGGTGGCAGAAATAGGTAAGGTAGTTCTTTCCTCAATGAACTCGTTTACAAGGAGCTCTACTGCTACTATATAATACATTTTTAAGATACACGAACATATTTTTACATATGTCAAGACAGTTGGGTTGTTGGCTTCTGTAACAACAAGCTTTGCCAAGTATGACTTACCAGGAGGTCCAAAAAGTACGATACCCTTCTATGGTATCTTCTTCTCTCCGAAGACGTACCGAAATGAGAACTTAATAGAAAGATCGGGCTACCTTAATGGTTTCCTTAGCAGCATCAAGGCCAGCAATATCACTTCATTTTACTTTTCAGTTTCTTCAAGTTTTCCTACCCAGACGCTCGTCGACAACCAAGAATCTTGCCAGCACATGTACGCAACGATACGTCTTTTGCTTATACTCCTGTTTGATAGTTGGTACTTCAAGATAGTTGATAGTAGATAGAGTAGTAGACGTATTTCCTGGGCCCCTAACAAAAATTCCAACAGCAAAGTCTCTTGTCTAACTTTTTTTTCTCAGGATCGTCAGAGTCGCTTTCACTGTCACTCATTTTGTATTTATTCTTCCTTCGTCGTTCCTTTTCGAGGTATTCCTTTATTATTGTGGCTCTATCTACATACAGGAGACACTTAGCTCTGGCGATTTTCCTAACTCTCTCACTTTTAATTTCATATGTCGAAGCATACTCGAAACATTTAATTCCATGTTCATAAAGAATTAGAGCTTCTTCATACTTTCCATTCTTATCTTCTTCTACTGCTTTAGTAACAAGATCAACGGCCGCTTGCACTGACTTTAGTAATGTCATGCTTGGATATTAAATCCTTATCTGGAAACAGAATATAATTAATGAGTAATTATGTATACATTTGAATACGTTAAGTATACTCGACCACACCTTAAGCTATATATCTAAGCAGTAGAGCTCCTTGTGAAAGAGTTCGTCCAGGGAAGTACTGCCACCTTTCCTATTTCTGCCGCCAAGCAGTAATGTTAGCATTACTGTGCTGTTCAAATTACAGGCACATGAGATTTGTCAACTTATTTCTCAGTGTGACGGGCGCAGAGGCAGTGCCCCTCAAATCTTTGTGATTTGAAGCTCTGAGTGGCACTGCAACTGTTATGGACAGGCGTGTAGTTCACCATCAGGCGCACGACTTGCTCGTCACTTGATATTATAAAAAAACATTGTAATGCAAAATAAACGTGATATATAGGGGTTAAAGTATGAAATTGCCGTTTTATTGCAATAGGTTCTTTGAATTTTCATAGAATCTTCATGGTTTGAGGTTTTCGAATGAAACTTTTTTCAAATGGTTTCTGTGATTTTTTTTTTTTTAATTTGTAACATTTGAATATCGACTTTCAATTGTTTTTGTTATTCAATTTAGACAAGAAAGATGGATACTGCGAAAATTCGAGTGATTTTTGAATACGAGTTCCGACGCGGAACTAACGCGGTAGAAACAGCCCGCAATATCAATGCTGCGTTTGGAGAGGGGTCTACTAATGAACGCACCGTGCGATTTTGGTTTAAACGCTTTCGTGATGGAAATTTCACACAGGTGAATAACGATGAATTAAGAGAGATAGTGGAAGCCGATCCTAGTCAAACTATCCAGGAATTAGCGGCATGGTTTAACGTTACCTTACCCACAATATTGACTCACTTGCGTCAAATCAATAAAATAAAAAAATACGAAAAATGGGTGCCTCATGATTTGACTGATCTGCAGAAAGAAACGCGTGTTGAAACTTGTGTTGCCTTGTTGAACCGGTACAGAAATGAAGGAATATTGGATCGAATTGTAACATGTGATGAAAAGTGGATTCTTTATGATAACCGGAAAAGAAAAATGCAATGGCTGACCCCAAGTCAAATGCCACAACAGTGTCCTAAAGCAAAACTTACCAATAAAAAGGTAATGGTAACTGTTTGGTGGTCTCAGCATGGTGTTATTCACTATAGTTTTCTCCGATCTGGTCAAGCAATAACGGCAGATGTCTATTGTGCCGAACTCCGAACCATGTTGACAAAACTAGCAGTAAAACAGCCCCGACTCATGAATCGATCTTCACCATTATTGCTCCACGACAACGCGAGACCTCACACAGCACGAGAAACCATTTTGACCCTTCAGGAACTGCAGTTAGAAACCATTCGTCATCCTCCGTATTCACCAGACCTTGCTCCAACGGACTACCATTTTTTTCGTGATTTGGACAATTATCTACGTGACAAGAAGTTTTCTTCCCAGGAGGCAGTACAAAATGCTTTCACACAGTTTGTGCAGTCTAGATCGTCGGAGTTCTATCGCAAAGGCATTAATAACCTTCCCATTAGATGGCAGCAATGTATAGATAATAATGGCAACTATTTTGATTAAATAAATTTGTTAAAAATTTAAAAAATAAACAATTTAGATTTTCAGTACAAATCGGCAATTTCATACTTTAACCCCTATTATTATATCTTACTTGTGGCCCACCACATGCAATTTGTCAATAGGCTTCGAACCAAAGGTTGGTCGGAGCAAGGACAATTTGTTCAGGTGGGGATTTTCGGATGGTTCTAACCTGGACTGCTTGTGCGGTGCGATTCAAACGATGGCCCACCTCATATCGTGCCCTGCGTGCCCTAACACCTGCACGCTTGAGGATTTAATGGCGGCTACTAGTGACGTGGTCGGCGTGGCTGAGTTCTGGGCCACAATAGTGTAATGTGTGTCATCGATACGATAAGAAGAAGAAGAAGAGGAATTTTTATTACTTCTCAATAAATGTCATTGTTCTAATAAATTATGCTTAGGTGTTGATGTAACAAGTATATTATCAACCTCATCATCACTTTCCATCAAGTGACATGGATATAAATGCGCACTTATTTTTTGTTAAAGAAAACCTAATTGTACCAGAATTTTATAATGTATATTAATACCTATTTCATGAAATGAAAAAAATACACAACACGACAAAATACACATGAGTACGTCAATAAATATAGAAACAGTTTACGTTAATTTTATCTTAATCAAAGCCACGATTATACCGTCACGGACAACATAACAGAGCGTTCTACCTTAGTGTTGGCTAACGGAAAAATATGAACGTACAAAAATAATGTGAAAAAATCTTGAACCTTGGAACGTTATTATCGCAACCAGCATAGACTCTGTCTCTATGCAATATAGAGGTGAATTTCAATCTTCGCGCGTCAAGGTTAAAGCTGTCTTGGCCCTATAGCCAGAGCATTGAGGAAAATGGTTCAAAAAACTAGCATGCACGTAGGTTACAAATATAAAAAATATGGATGGAAGGTAATTGCAAATGAACACAGTTTGTGCTAGCTTGTTGC